TATATATAATTATGTATATATATACATACATATATGCATATATATATATATATATATATATATATATATATATATATATATATATATATATATATATATATAGCATATATACATATATATATGTGTGCATATATATGGAAACATACACACACACACACACATATAGAGAGAGATGTACAGATGTACAGTTGCGGAATTATATGTCAGTACACATGCTGGGTCCCGCTTTGGTACATCTGGCAACCACCTCGATGTAAACATAGTGTAAATAGTATTTGTAAGAGGCGAAAACCCTAGGTTGTTTGTTACAAAGAGCGTGATTGGTAGAATATTTTTAGAAACCCACTTGCTGGCTATTTATAGATATTGATATATCTATTTTTAGAAACCCAATACACTATTTGATTTTTTTTTTTTTTTTCAAATAACTGGTTGCAAAATGTGCAGTATAGTAGCATAGTATCACATCTGAAATGGATGAGAGGGAGGATGGAGGGATGCATAGCAGAGTGAAGTGAAAGTAAGTCAATCGGCCCTATCAGAGCACCAGCATGGTGAATTAGGATGTGGTACATATGAAGTAGGAGAAAGAACTGGAAAGTATTCTAGAATTGACCAATAGAAATCTAAATGATGAGAAGGGGAGCATAGAGTTCTGTTCAATGCATGAAAAAGATGACGTGCGTGTATCAAAGTGTGTGGGGCGATTTGAATTAATAAAGTCAGCTGTGGAGAGGAAGTGCTCTAGGGATCGGCCACGGGAGTTGGTGATAGAATCACCCCCGTCCGTTAAAATCAACTACGAGGAAAGGTGGCGAGTTGGGCAATTATTTTCAAAGGCAACAAAGTCAATGGGGTAGGAAGGGGAGTAGACAGAAATCACCGTGATCCAGCGGCGAAGAAATATGCGAATAGCTGTGCAACAGTTTGGTTTGAAGGGGAGGTATGACAAGGTGTTTTCTGATTTATAAGTATGGACGAGACATAAATGGAGTGTGGGGAAGAAGCAAAATGGTAATTGGTATAGGAGGATGTGTAAGAAGTCTCTTGAAGGAATATATTGGATGGGTTATTTGAGGAAAGGATATGACGAAGGTTGGGTCTCTGAGAACGGAAACTGCGAATATTCCAATGAAGGATGTGGATGTGAAGGGCTGTGTTGGGAGGGGGTAGGAGGAAAGGGTGTAGGGGGGATATGAGTAGGATGGATATCGGCAGTTACTTCGAGAGTGGAGGGAGCGGGAGTTTGGAACCCCTCATCCACCTTCAAATTCCATGTGTCAGCTTGGGACTCGAGTAAATAGTTTTGAATATCTTCAAGAGTTTCAGTAATGGAGTTGGTTGGGGAGTTTTGAGACAAATGTTTTCTTGTGAGGGGGGGGAGACAAGACAGGTGTCTGAAGAGTAAGGGCAAAGGAAGGTGGTGATTGTGTGGTAGGGGAAGAGGGGGTGGAACGTTTCGCGGGTAGGGAGTGGAGGGAGGGGGAAAGATGTTGGGGCTGTAGTAGAGATTGGAGTGTCTGGATTTAGGATGGTAAAATAATTTGACTGGGGAAGATATGAGGTACAAGAGGGAGTCGGGGGGGGGGGGGGCTATGTTGGGAGGGGGTAGAAGGATTGGGTGTAGGGGGGATATCGTTAGGAGGATGGATATCGACAGTCACTTGGTATGTGGAGGGAGCAGGAGTTGTATGATATGTGGAGGGAGCAGTAGTTGTAGGATTTGAAGGTTGATGAGTGTCAGTTTTCATTAAGTAGTCTTGAATATTTTCCAGTTTCTTCAATGGAGTTGATTGGGGAGCTTTGTGAGATAAAGGATTTCTTGTGACGGAGGGAAGAGAAGTGTCTCAAGAGTAGGGGCAAAGGAAGGTGGAGGTGATTGTGTGGTAGGGGAAGAGGGGCTGGGACGTTTGTTCTGTCTGTTGCGGGTAGTGCAGGGAGAGAGAGGGGAAGGTGTTTGGGTTGTAGTGGAGATTGGAGTGTCTGGATTTAGGATGGCAAAAGAGTTTGACTGGGGAAGGTAGGAGGTAGAAGAGGGAAGGTAAGGTTTGGGAGAGGGTGTAGGAGCTTGGGAGGTAGGGGAAGTGGTAGAATGAGCAATATTACTGGAGTAGGGATTAAGAGAAAAACCTCGTCGGCGTGCTTCCTGTCTGGCTTCACGTACTGTGAGTCCAAGATGGAATCTGAGAGTTGCTACCTCATAATGTATTTTATAGGGGTTGCCCTACCTATAAATTTGAGTTTGAGGGCCACCACATTTTACTTTACACAATCACGTACATGTACCGTTTGATCGAGTATGGCCAGGTTGGGCACATAGTGGGCATCTGGCTGTGGAACGGCAATGTTTGGCTGGGTGTCCTAAGCGCCAACAAGTTTGGCACTGACGAGGTGGTGGTTGGTATGGTCGGATAGGGAGGGATTCTCCACCTATGTAATCATTAAAGGGATGGTCATGTCTATGGAAAGTAATTTTGGTGATGTTAGTGAGTTTCTACGATGACCTCTGGGAGATATGGAGTAGCATTGAACTGATGTCGCATCACAGTCTGTGAGACAGGCGAGGAAATCTTCTCCACAATCTGACCAATCTTTGTCATAGATTGGGCAATTTGCTGGGGAGATAGAAACAGTTCCGGTGCAAGTACTGAGGGTTGGATGGGGTTCTGCAAGGATGGGGTTACCATATAAATCAGTTGTTTTTCGGATGTTACTCAGCTATAGCATTAGCAAAACTGTGACGAAACGGGAGCGGTCGGGTCGGCTATGGAAAGAGACTTTGCTGGAAGAGAAGGTTGTTAGAGTAGGGAGGTGTGGGAGGGATCACGAAAAATCGGTCCCATTTGGCTGGGCTAAATGGAGTATTTAAGACTGTTGTAGAGATAGGGGTAGTAGAAGGACGGGGGCGTGTCGAAGAGGGAGTAGTGTTGAGGGAGGTAGTGTTATGGAGAGGTGGGCAATAAGGCTGTAAGGTATTAATAAGGGAGGATGGGGTAGTTGATGTAGGTTGTGGAGGTACAGGTGTCTCTAGGGGCTGGAGTGTTGACTGCAACAGCTACTCCCTCCTCAATGCCTACTAGTACAGTAGTGTTCAGAGCCGTGGTCAAAGGAGAGCCCGGGGTCAGGGAATCGGGAGGATTTGAATTGTTGGGGCTATTTGATGAAGGAGGAAGCTTCATTGCCCCTAATAGTGGAATTACATTTTCATTATTAGCCATGGTAAGCCTGGAGTATGTTGGGGAGAGAAACAGTCCAGGGTTCCCTTGAGGGGTAAGGGCGAGACCTAAGCAGGGGAATACCTGTGCCCTCATGCCGTTCAGGACTGGCACAAAGTCAGCCTTTTATTCTTTCAGCACGGCTCTCACACCTTAAGTGGTGGATAATAGAAGGGATTGGGACGGAAACGAAAAAGTAGGAAGGGAAAAAAGAGCCCTCGACTCAATTAATTTTGCATGGTGAGTCCCAAGGTTGGGGAGTTCCCATCATTGGGTCCCTGTCTCCGCCTCCTAAGCTCCCCCCCACGACAACAACGGGCAAGGATTGGGGGGGAAGTGAGCTCAGTGAGCGACATTAATGGAGTAGGAAGTAAGAGAGACATTGCTCTACGTGAAGCCAAACAGGAAGCACGTTGACGAGTCCAAATTTGAATCTGAGCACTTTGAGTATGGCCAGGTTGGGTACATAGAAGGCATCTGGCTGTGGAACGGCAATGTTTGCCAAAATTGACGTTTAGGACACCCACCCACTGATGAGGTTGATATGGTCGGACAGGGAGGGATTCTCCACCCATGTAAATATTAAAGGGAAGGTTAGGCCTATGGAAAGTAATTTTTGCTATGTTAGTGGGGTTCTTACGATGACCTCTGGGAGGAATGGAGTAGCATTGTACTAATATTGCATCGTAGTTTGTGAGACAGGAAAGTCTTCTCTGCAATCGGCCCAATTTTTGTTATAGATACGGCAATTTGCTGGGGAGATAGAAACAGTTCAGGTGCAAGTATTGAGGGTTGGATGGGGTTACCATATAGATCAGTTAAGATTTGGCAATGCGATAGCTTGGTTTTCAGATATTGCTGTGACGAGACGGGAACGGTTGGGTCGGCTAGAGAGACTATGCCTATTTGTTTTTGGAGACATTACTGGAAGAGAAGGGTGTTTTCAGAGTAGGAAGCTGTGGGAGGGATCACGAAAAATCGGTCCCATTTGGCTGGGCTAGAGTACTTGAGAATGTGTAGAGATGGGGGTAGTAGGACGGGGGCGTGTGGAAGAGGGTGTAGTGTTGAGGGAGGTAGTGTTATGGAGAGCTGGACAATAAGGCTGTAAAGTAATAAAACGGGAGGATGAGGTAGTTGATGAAGAAGGTTGTGGAAGTAGAGGTGGGAATAGAAATCTCCGCGACTTGAGTGTGACTAGGTGGATCAGTATTAGTAGGCATTGGAGGAGGGGGTTATTAGTGTTGTAGTGTTCGGAGATGTGGTCAAAGGAAGCCTGGGGTCAGGAATAGGGAGTTTGAATTAGTGGGGATATTGATGAAGGGGAAAGCCTACATTGCCACTAATAATGGTACATTTCAAATTGTCATGGTAACCATGGAGTATGTGGGGGGGAGAAACAGATTACAAATCAGGGTTCCCATGATGAGGTAAGGGATAGGTAACTAAGCGGTACGGTATCCCTGATATCTCAGGCTGTTCAGGAGGACTGGTACAACTAGCTTTTTCTCAATTCAGCCCGAACATCAAAACCTTAGGAAAGTGGAATAGCAGGGGTGTGGGTTGAAGGGACAGAACGAAAAAGTAGGAAGGGAAAAAAAAGAGCCACTCGACTCAAATTAATGTTTGCCATGGTGAGTCCCACGGTTGGGGAGTTTCCAATCATTGGGGGGGGGGTCCCTGTCTCCGCCTCCTAAGCTCCCCCCACGACAACAACGGGCAAGGATTGGGGGGGAAGTGAGCTCAGTGAGCGACATTAATGGAGTAGGAAGTAAGAGAGACATTGCTCTACGTGAAGCAAACAGGAAGCACGTTGACGAGTCCAAATTTGAATCTGAGCACTTTGAGTATGGCCCAGGTGGGTACATAGAAGGCATCTGGCTGTGGAACGGCCAATGTTTGCCAAAATTGACGTTTAGGACACCCACCCACTGATGAGGTTGATATGGTCGGACAGGGAGGGATTCTCCACCCATGTAAAATATTAAAGGGAAGGTTAGGCCTATGGAAAGTAATTTTTGCTATGTTAGTGGGGTTCTTACGATGACCTCTGGGAGGAATGGAGTAGCATTGTACTAATATTGCATCGTAGTTTGTGAGACAGGAAAGTCTTCTCTGCAATCGGCCCAATTTTTGTTATAGATACGGCAATTTGCTGGGGAGATAGAAACAGTTCAGGTGCAAGTATTGAGGGTTGGATGGGGTTACCATATAGATCAGTTAAGATTTGGCAATGCGATAGCTTGGTTTTCAGATATTGCTGTGACGAGACAGGAACGGTTGGGTCGGCTAGAGAGACTATGCCTATTTGTTTTTGGAGACATTACTGGAAGAGAAGGGTGTTTTCAGAGTAGGAAGCTGTGGGAGGGATCACGAAAAATCGGTCCCATTTGGCTGGGCTAGAGTACTTGAGAATGTGTAGAGATGGGGGTAGTAGGACGGGGGCGTGTGGAAGAGGGTGTAGTGTTGAGGGAGGTAGTGTTATGGAGAGCTGGACAATAAGGCTGTAAAGTAATAAAACGGGAGGATGAGGTAGTTGATGAAGAAGGTTGTGGAAGTAGAGGTGGGAATAGAAATCTCCGACGACTTGAGTGTTGACTAAGGTGGATACAGTATTAGTAGGCATTGAGGAGGGGGTTATTAGTGTTGTAGTGTTCGGAGATGTGGTCAAAGGAGAGCCTGGGGTCAGGGAATAGGGAGTTTGAATTAGTGGGGCTATTTGATGAAGGGGAAAGCCTCATTGCCCCTAATAATGGTACATTTCCATTGGTCATGGTAAACCTGGAGTATGTTGGGGGGAGAAACAGATTACAACTCAGGGTTCCCTTGAGAGGTAAGGGATAGGTAACTAAGCCATGGGTACGGTATTCCCTGCATATCTCAGGCTGTTCAGGACTGGTACAAAGTCAGCTTTTCATCATTTCAGCCCGACTCAAACCTTAGGAAGTGGATAGAAGGGGTTGGGTGAAGGGACAGAAACGAAAAAGTAGGAGTAAAAGACCATGCAAAATTAAATGAGTCTAGAGCGGAGTTCCAAGGTTGGGGAGTTCCTCAGCATTAGGTACCAGTCATGACCTCCTAACCATAAAGCAGTTTTTATCGCCAGAGCTGAAAGTTACTTTTACTTTTATAAAGTTCATTATAAGGGAATCATATGAATAATAATACGGAGTTGCCAGACGGCGTTGGTGTGTGCAAGTGTTTGAAAAAAAAAGAAGAAGAAAAAAAAAAAAAAAACCTGCCAACAATTTTTCTAAGGGTAGTCATAAAACAGAGATAATAATCTTTATTAAGGTAATAATTGTATCACTACCAACAATTATAAAGATAACACCAGCTGCAATGACAGCAATAAATATAATAACAATAACAACAATAATAATAATAATGATAATGATAATTATCATGGTAATTACAATATGTGTGTGTGTGTATTTATGTATATACACATTTATATATATACATATATTGATGTATTTACATATAAAGATTTATATTACATCTTTACATATAAAGATTATATTACATCTTTACATATAAGATTTATATTACATCTTTACATATATATATTTATATAAATGTAAAAATCTGTAAATATATATATATTCTTACATTTATTAATATATATATATATATATATATATATATATATATATATATATATATATATATATATATATACATATAATATATATATATATATATTTATATATATATATATATATATATATATATATATATATATATATATATATATATATATATATATATATATATATATATCTTTATTCACATCTATATAAATTTATACATTTATTCATATATATATATATATATATATATATATATATATATATATATATATATATATATATATATATATATATTTATATATACATTTACATATTTAGAATTATATTTATTTGCATATATCTATTATATTTTATATTTCATATATTTTATATATGTAAATATATAAATTATATTACATATAAATATATATTTATGTATATTCATATATAGGTATATTCATATTTTTTATATATTTGCATATATTTGTGCATATATATATTTCTATATATTTATGTATATATATATTTCCATTTATATGTATATATATATATATATATAATATATATATATATATATATATATATATATATATATATATATATATGTGTATATATATATATATATATATATATATATATATATATATATATATATAAATATATATATATGTATATATAAATATATATATATGTATATATATATATATATATATATATATATATATATATATATATATATATATATATATATATATATATATATATATAATATATGAAGATATATATACACATACACTTTTGTATAAAAAAAATATATGTGAATACATTAATTGTGTGTACCTCTTTATATGTATATATACATATATATGTCTATATGTATGCATATATATACATACATATAATCTATACGTAAGTGTGCGCGTATACGTATTTATGCATATATGATACATGTATTTATAAATGTGTATATGTGTATGTGTACATATGTATGTTTATGCATGTGTATATATAAGTATATGCATATGTAGGTGTTAAAGGACTCAAGTAGCATGAAATTTCAACCTCACAGCCTCATGCAATTTTAACATTGCTTAACTTATTCATTAGCCTTGCAACATAAATTTCCAGAGAAATGATTCCCGCGAAAATGAAATTAGTCGAAGCCTTTCTTTCCACTTCACTCACTCGGCGTTCCTTCAGTCTCTCGTTTCGAGTGCCACTGAGTCCAAGTCCCACTTTGACTGGTGCTGAGGAGTGTGGTTATGGTGGTGGTGATAGTGATGGTGGTGGTGATGGTGGTGATAGTGATGGTGATAGTGATGGGTAATGGTGGTGGTGGAGGTAATGGTGGTGGTGGTGATAATGATGGTAATGGTGGTGGTGGTAATGGTGATAGTGTTGGTGGTAATGGTAATGGTGATGGTGGTAATGGTGGTGATGGTGATGGTAAAGGCAATGGTGGTGATGGTAATGGTAATGGTGGTGACGTCCAGACGTCCTCGTAATCATCATCAGGATCTACGGACGTCCGGGCAGGAGGCGTCCTCTTCGACATCTCAGGGCGGCTGATACCTGCGCTGACGAACTCCTGGAGTTCGACTGGATCTGCGGGCGTCCTGCCAGGCGGCGCCCTTCCACAGCATCATGGGGCGACTGGTACATGCACTGGCGAGTTCATGGTCTCTCGCTGGATCTATGGGCGTCCTGGCAGGCGGCGCCCTTCAACGTCCTGGGGAGGCTTAATACCTGCTCTGACGAACATCCCGGTCTCCAGGCTTCTGGCGATCCTCCGATAACATCCTTCCCAAAGCCTCCTAAGGTGTCTGTTTCTGCAGTAGGGTCCTCCTGCAGAGAGAGGGGGTGTTAAGCGCCACTAGCCGATTATTTATAAAAATGTACAGTTTTTAATGTTACGCCTACAAATGCGACAGCAACAAATCCTATTAATGAAAAGGTTTCACTGTTTTTTGTTCTGCGTGAGTGAGTGAGTGAGTGAGTGAGTGTGTGCGTGTGAGCGACGGGAAGCGTCAATGAGAATGAGAGTAAGAGTTACCTCATAGAGCGGACTTGTATGCCAAACACTTAGATTGACGCTAATTTTAACGAAAATGCAATAAAATATCTATAGAATTTATACAAACTATTTCAACATTTAATGATATGCGACAGAATGACGTACTTATGAACGGTGACGTGAAAAGTATTCGCAAGCGAATCTTCTCGGGTCAGCAAATCTCCCGAGGTAGCCATGTCTAGCTGGGTATACAGACTTCATTGACGGGGGGGGGGGGTCTATACCCTAAAATACCGTACTATACGAAGCGAAACATGCTGGAAAAAATTATAAATAACCCACTCTATGCTGCGGATTTGTGATGGGCGCTCGTGACATGCCCTACAGATATCTATCACGAATCACACGATCGTTGGTATTTACCCAAACATGCCCGCGACTTCTAGGGAGTGAGTAGGGGGTCTCTCAGCTATTTCACGTGTCAATCGACCAGAGGTGAGAGAAAGTTTCCTGATTAATTTCTGTCACTTCGAGGTCAGGTCAAGACGGGAAATGCGCGATGAGAACAGAAATAAATGAAATGATATTCGTGAAAACAACAAAATCACGCTAAATTCATTGCAGTTGAAACAATATGAATCTATAATCACGAGAAAGATTAAGTAAATACTTAAGCCTTATGCGCAGTTACCCTCACGATGATTTTGTTGGGTTGGCATTTATTAACACATTTATGGGAGAAGATACAAAAAAGAAAAGAAAAGGCCCAAAACGTGTACTCACGTGGTTTTGAAGACATGTCGATTGTGTTAACGATGGTCGAGCGAATTTCGGAGGCTGGGAGATGACCTCGTCAGATCGTCACTAAAGCGATGGTTCTCCCCTGGACCTCGAGCCACGTTGCAAACAGCCACGCAGTCTATGGCTAATGTCATACACAATCGTGGTTATGTACACGATAAATATGGTGATGGTGGTGGTGGAAATGGTGGTGGTAAAGGTGGTGATGATGATGGTGGTGGTGATGATGATGGTGGTGATAATGGTGGTGGTGGTGATAATGGTGGTGGTGGTGATGATGGTAATGGTAATGGTGGTGGTGATGGTAATGGTAATGGTGGTGGTGATGGTAATGGTGGTGGTGATGGTAATGGTGGTGGTGGTGATGATGGTAATGGTGGTGATGATGGTAATGGTAATGGTGGTGATGGTAATGGTGGTGGTGGTGGTGATGGTAATGGTAATGGTGGTGATGATGGTAATGGTGGTGGTGATGGTAATGGTGGTGGTGATGGTAATGGTGGTGATGATGGTAATGGTAATGGTGGTGGTGATGGTAATGGTGGTGATGATGGTAATGGTAATGGTGGTGGTGATGGTAATGGTGGTGGTGATGGTAATGGTGGTGGTGGTGATGATGGTAATGGTGGTGATGATGGTAATGGTGGTGGTGGTGATGATGGTAATGGTGGTGATGATGGTAATGGTGGTGGTGATGGTAATGGTGGTGATGATGGTAATGGTGGTGGTGGTGATGATGGTAATGGTGGTGATGATGGTAATGG